TTGCACTGTATTGTATTTTTAAATTGTATTCTTATTGTTTTATGCTTTTATTTATTTTAATATTTTTGAATTATGGTTAGTTTAATCTGAGGATATAGAATAGGCATTGTGAGGTATTGGCTCTAGGACTCCCTCTCCCCCAGTGGATATCAAAATCCATGGATGCTGATATAATTTATATAAATTTATATAATATTTGCACAAAACCTATGCACACCCTCCCGTTTACTTTAAATCATCTCTAGATCACTTATAATATCTAATGCAATATAAATGCTAAGTAAAAAGTTGCACCATATTGTATTTTTAAATTGTATTCTTATTGTTTTATGCTTTTATTTATTTTAATATTTTTGAATTATAGTTAGTTTAATCTGAGAATACAGAATACATGGATACAGAAAGTAACTGTAATACATGTACTATATCCATGCACACACACATGTGTATTTATACAAATACACACACATACACACCACACACACACACAATGTCTGAAGTATTACTAAGGTAAATAAAGGTTACTAAGCAACCATACTATGTTAACATACATGGACAAACATTTTCTTTTCTGTCAGGATTCAACATAAAGACATTCTGCCCAGCCTTTCCCTGCCCCAAATCTCTAGACCACCCTGAGGGTCTTAACATGAAATGTCACAGGAAGACAAGTTTGCTGTATTTTTTGGTTTTCATGCCAATGCAACTTCACTAATATAGCTGGAGAGTAATGGAACTGTAGGTCAGGGCTCCTACCTCAAAAGGAGCTCATTCTTCATGGAGTAAACTTCTGGTCAGATTCTATTAAGCATGTCAGGCATAGATGTTTCCTTGGTGGATACTACATAATTCTTCCATATGTCATATTCAAGAACAACTTTTTGGAATGGCATTATCCACAATGAAATCTTCTTGGGGGTCAGGTTGGATATATTGCCCATCACATGTGGCATTTCAATAACTCACTCTTCAGAGGTAGTGCTCTCATTTGTATTTAAGTACATTTTTCATATTTCCCTGCCAATAAATTCTCTGTGACACAGAATAGACTATACTGAGATTGAGGATTCTGATGCATTTTTATTAGAAAAATTCTATTTTAGCATTTTGTTCTTTTACCTTATTTCTGTAAAATTAACTAACTAGAGACAATCATTCTGAAAGAGCTGAAGATGTTTCCTTTAGGAAGCAGGCTATACCTCTTGAGCAAACTAGAAGTGACTGAAAAGATGTGCCGAACCTCTAAACACTTGATGTCCTTCTCTTGTCATCCTCATTTTTCCTCACTCCAATGCACTTTCATGAAAAGCTTGCTTAAATTTCTGAAGTCCTGAGTTTTAGTTCCACTTTGGTTATTTGTGAAATGGATAATCTTAAACAATATCTTAACTTTATTTCCTATCACCTAACTCTTCTGGAAAAGAATTGCACTGGCTAAACCTACATCTTTGAGTGTGTTGAGAATGTAGGGGAAGTATTTAAAGGTAAAAGATGATATAGGTTCCCAGGTATCTTCATCTCTCTAACAATATCTGATTTTTCAGATAATAAATTTAGTCTGTGTATCACATGTCATATATATGGCTACTAGATTAAAGTTGTTAGTTGTGGCACTTTGGGTAAAATGTGAGAACCAAGATGTTGAATAATGCTGCCCTAAAGGTCTTCTAGGGGCCAATAAGTCATTATCAGAAAACCGACAATCATAGTGAATTTTAACATAATGCTTTCCCGGGCACCTACTGGTCAGCAAGTCTAGGCAGCAAACCCTAACACAAAGTAGGAAAAACAGTTCAGTTCCAAGACCAACATAGAAACTGAAATAGAGCAGAATCAAGCTGTAAGAGGGGTTTTCTAGGACAGTTTTCACCAGATTTTGGAATGCCCGTGGCTCACTCCTTTGCTGCTGCCTTCACAGAGCATGACCCAGTGGCCCTGTGTTCACTGGAGTTGGTGCAATGAGTATGTCCCAGAGTCTGTTCCAAACTTATGACTTCATCGGTTGTCCCTTCTATTGTGTTACTCACACCTTATTACTGCAAGCCTATCCTCGGGAGGACAACTATATGTCCTCTTTCCAGCACACATTTCCCTCATCCAGCTCAGGGTATGGTACCAACCTGCCCTGGGTCTTTCAAAAGCCTGATTTCATTGCTTATCTTAGTAAAAAGTCACAGCATAAATGACTTGAGTTCATTACACAATTAGAAGAAAGAGAAGTTCAGGCATCCATCTCCCCAGTCTGCTGAGTTTCGAAGGCAGACTTAATCTAATCTGTGCTCTGGACCACACATTGCGATCCTCACTCTTGCTGCAGATCAGCAAATGCATGGACTGATTTCATGCCTATGAAAATACCGTTAGCCAAGATCTGATCTTCTGTCCTCAGCCAGAGGAACCTCTTAGTCATCTCAGATCAGTGTCCTAGGTGTTGCCAATGAATGTTAGCGCTGCCACGAGAGTGACGTCTTCAATCTCTTTCACCAGGATATACTGCAGACTCCAACAATTAAATCAGTAAAATCTATCCCATTTTAGTGTATGTTTTAAGCATCTTGTGTAGAATGGAAAACCTGATATAGTCTTTGGGGTGGGGG